ACATCAAGTAGATAATCCACATGCCAGGTGGGACTTACATAGGGGGTGGAAATCCTACCACTAGTTTAAACCACCTTCCTACTAGGTTCTGTCGCGACTGTATCCATCATGGGTAAGGCACATTATGGAATATTATTATAGAGATTAACCCCAGTATTCCAGTCACTGTTATCACCGATCCTCGGGATGTATCACTAGCATAACGTAGTACTACCGTTTTCACCACCTGTGGAACTGGTGTCTTTGCTTGGATTCCGATTTAATCTTGTAGGTCCTTACTAAACACACTTGGTTTAACGATTTTTGTTTAGTATTCTTACCACCTGTGACTGATACCTTGCCCTTCGGTCATATGATTAAGTTCTGTAGAACGCTACCATTGGGATAGATCTACAAGCTCCAGATTGGGATAGAACGGCTTAGAATTAATCTCTTTTTTGGAACTTGTGTGATGGAGTCTGCCATCGCCAGTTTGGGTTAGAGTGGGCTTTTTACCGGAGTTAGACCAGAAGCCTTTTCTCGTGCAACCTTCCTTGCTTCGACCTGTTTTCAGCTCGCGATCGTTGGGAAGACCAGAGGTCCCATCTTCATGCAGCCTAACTAATTTTGGAAGATGATTTACGGCTGATTGGGTACGACATGAATTGGAAGCTGGTCAACCAATCATAAAGGTGATAAATTTTTGTAACCAGGTGGGGTTGAACCCTAGACCTTCACCTGGTGACCTATGGAGCTTTACCACTGAGCTATAGACCCATAGGTCATAAGTGATTCATTACTTTAGTAAGCCACTGTATATATTTAAAATAAATAATAAATATTATTAATTATTTTTATTAATTATTTTTATTTTTTATAATCAAAATATTATGTTCTTATAACTAAAATTCAATTTAAATTATGTTTTCAATTATGTCTCTATTAAATAATTTAAGAACTTATTTTTAAATACAAGGTTTGTTATATATTGTATCAACAGTCTTGCTTAAGTCTAAGGCTTTTTATTGAAGGTAACAATAACAAAATAATATAATTTTTACATGTCTATTAACTAATTGAAGCAAGTTTTTGATGAATTAATTTGAGACTTCCTATTGAAAACAAATTATAAATAAATAAAACCATAAATAAAAACATAAATTAACTTAAATTAATCTTATAGTTATATAATTAAATATAAATCATTCAATAAAGTTCATATATTACTGATATCTTTATTTTAAAAAAAAAATTAAAAAATTAAAAATTAAATTAAATTAATATACTGTATATTATATTCAATCATATATTATTTATTTATATATAAAAAACCTTTTTTTTAAAAAATAATAGAATTATCCAATAAAAATTATTTTTTATTAATTATAAATAATGTTTTGTTTATAATATCATCTAACATTATATATTATATAGTACAATCAAGATTTTGTCAAAATAAAATATAATAACAAGCTGTAAACAATAAAAACTTTTATATTCTTTGGCAAAATATTTCTTTTTTCCACAATTATAACAAGTGACATGTTTATTTGATCCTACAATAGCTTTACTCTTCTTTTGTTCCTAATAATTGGATGTTGTTTTATGTGTTTCAACTTGATCTAACTCTATAGGAGAAGATTCTCTATAAACTTAAATTCTTTTAGCAATAAAGGAATGGTTTTATTTATTTTCAAGATTATGCTTGAAGATTAAAGATCAATAACATATGTATGCATTCGAGTATTAAAACAATTTATGTATAAAAGTTATGTTTCAATTTTAAAAATTAAATAAATATAATAAATAAATACTTGTTTAATTATGAAATATACAGTATATATACAGTATATATATATTTATTATATTATAATAATTATAATATTATTTTTAAAGTCAAAATTCTATGTATTGTATGTAAAAAAAAAGGTTAATGCAATAATTAATTATCAATAATCAAGCTGTCATATATTAACAGTTCGTATTTTCATTCAAAAACTTAATGTACCAAGTCTCGGATGTTCATTAACAACCTCTATTTCTCGTGGATCGCGCTATAATCGGGCTAGATTGTTACGCAAGGCTGGCAATATTCACGGATGACATCACTCAATACGATCATCGCATAGTTATATGGCTGTATGCCAGCAGTAGCTTAAGTTTTGTATCTGGAACTATTGATTTACTCGTGACAAGTTTGAGTTACCGCAATCCACGCGAAATGTACACACGAAAAAGTACAGTAAAGCACCCTTAAGATGACTCAGCGCGTCGCCTACCGAAAGTCCAAGTAGAATGTATAACACTGAGGCCTCCGATCGGCGGAGTGCTTAAAATCAATGTCTCAAAAAGCAACAATTTCATTTCTGTAAGTAACAAACATATTTTTCGCGCTTATTTTCCGTTGTACTATTTGCGCTTCATTTTTTTCGGTTGAAAACGCGGAAGTTTCTACAGTATTACACAGATATCTTTTTCAGAATATTTATTATACTCAATACAATTGCCTCAATATTTCGACCAAAATCGAAGCCGGAGTAACATTCATATTGGAAAGCTCTCTGATTGTTACTTCAGAAGAAAGTTTGTGATATTCCTTTTGAGAAGCATTGTACATGTATCCAATCTATATATGGAAAACGGTTAACGCAGATATCGTTGAAATTCCCTAAAATGGGCACAGTTCAGTTATTTATAAATCGCATCTATATGAATGTTCTCAGAATTTCCCGCGTAAGAAGGAAAGAATGGAAGCTTCTAAACATCCCAGCGCTAACGTAAGCAAAAGGAATTTTGCCTTGAAAAATTCCAGGAGAGAAGAAGAAACCATAAGTATCCCTGTTGGCTTGGGTCTTTTTATTATCGGAGTTCGTGGATGTAATGTTAGGAAAATCAGGTAATTAGGTTTAAAGCATTAATTAAAATTAAGTATAAATATAAATCATCTTTTTTTTAAAAAAAAAAGAGAAACTTCAGGTGCCAAAATTTATGTGAACTTGGACTCGGTTCCTCCTTCAGCGAAAATATATGGTACATCTTCACAACGTGAACAAGCGAAAGCTCAAATTAACGAAATACTCTCCAAACTTGTATTCGCCCCCGCCATTGGATTCACTTTATTGAAAATAAGTGACACCGACCGATTCAATGCAAAATATCAGTTTGTCGAATTTACCGATGAAAACGAAAACGTTAAAAACGTGCAAAGATATTGCCTCGAAAAAATCAAATCATCATATGATAATGCCGTGAATGCAAATGAATACATAGGTGTTGCGATGGATGGAAATTTTGATGATGTTCCATCCAATGGTTTTAACACCATCGATAAATTTAATCAATGCCTTAAGGAAATCTCCGTGCAACTCGCCGAATTCGATAATCATGGTACAAACTTCTTTTCAAACCACGGATTGGGAAATTTTAATTCAAGACAAATTCAATATCACATATTTTTTGGTCGTCAAACGTTCACAAAAGTGGATTCACGAAGAATTTTTAATGTGGATGATTTTTGTAAATTTGAAAGACGCACAAAAAACGATGCAAATGCCATTAGTACCTCATTCTCTCACAATATACCATCGTTCTGGAAGAATTTTGAGAAGATCTGCGGAAGGTTTGGATTAAAATTGGATGTGTCTAAAAAGGACAAGCGAAGTATTAGCATCCTTTACATGCATGACGGTCAACGAAGGAAGATGAAATTATATTGGTGCAACGAAGAAGGTAATTAATGTTTATAACTGTTTTCACTTATATTGATTATAATAAAAAATTTTTTTGTCATCAGGGTTATGGAAAATAAGCAAATCTACGGAAAACGTTAGGCGTCACGGTTGGTCTTTTCTACATAAATTTTTCTGATGGTTTTTTTTTCGATTTGCCGAATCCCATTCATTTATCCGTCCTTCCTACAGCTATAATTGACATCGTATCAGGAACAGAAAGTCTGGATTTACGATTCATGGTGAAAACACAGTCCAACGTGTCTGTTGAACCAAATCTAAGACATATTATCAAGGATCTACAGGCAGAAAGGCTTATTCCTGGTGAAGAAGGACTGTGGTTTGAGTTAAAGGATTTTGAGGGCAAACTTGATTGTATTGGGGTCAGACAGAAAATCAGCAAAAAATGTTATAGGTACATGTTATTTAAAAAGGATTTTATTTCGCATGTTTCACGCATTTTCTTTTCATTATCTAATAACCGGTCTCGCTTCACAACAAAGAAATGATCGATTCAAAATCGCGACGGTTACAACCCAACAGGAAATTAAGGGACAAAACGACGATCAGATTACCACAGAGAATTATATTATGTTAAAAAGTCTTTCTTGGCGACGGCATAATAAAAGAACGGACAAATCACTAAATATAAATTTTGATGATGAAGTGGTGTCTGGGTCAATTCATGAGGCCATTAACTTTGCTAGCGAGATTGCAAAGTCGGCTTGTTAACGGATGCAAGAGGTACAAACCCGGACCTTTATGTGAAAGGTGGCAATAATTGTATAAAGAAAAAAAAAATTAGAGACACCATTTATCTATACTATTTACGCACTATGTAATACGTGTGACAACTTGTTATACGAAACATCTATTATTTGGCATATGGCCCAACATTTATCATGTATACCAATATATTGGTTGGGTTTTATTAATTTTAATACTGGAAAATCACAACAAGGTGGTGTCGACTCGTGATATAATGAGCACGTAGATTTCTTTATACATATACAGTATATACTACATCGGAATTTATGATACATTGTGATGATAGTTTGCTACATCAAAGAGTTAATTTATAATTAAATGAATAAATATAATATAAATAAAACAATGGTTTCAAGTGCCATTATCGGAAGATTCTTCGGTAAACTTTGCTTCAATCCTAGAAGGCAAAAATCTAGTGGAGCTACTACTACTACTATCGAGGTTATGTTTGGCCCACGGAATATCAGATTCTTTAACATCTCCCTGTGATACAATTAAAAAAAAAGAAACGGTTTAATAATAGTTGAAAAATAGTGACTTGAACTCAAATCTTGGAGGTACGTTACCTCATCGTTTTTTGTGTTTTCCCATTCGCTATCATCATTTACCAATTTTTTCTTATAGGCCTTGATATTATCAGGATTTGCATAGTAATAGATTAAAGATGGAAAATAATCCTTCCTTCTGCGTTGTGCCGATGTCATCATATACATTTCAATCTCCGCTATGACCTATTTTAAGGCAATGATCAAATAATTGAAAAGAAATTTGACTCAAACGTGTAACCACACTAGATATCCCCTACCTCTGCCTTCTGTTTTAGCCAAGCTCGTATACCAGAGGTTTCCGTTTCTTTCACAACATCCGCCATAATAGCGATCAAAACATTCAACAACAATATAGCAGTGAAAAATGAAAATAGCATTAATAATATAGTGATCGTTCGATTATTGTCTCGCTCATCGCTGACCGAGTCATATTGTCCAATCTAGACATTTTGAAAGAAGAGGATCATTAAATAAGAAACAATGTTTAATTAAAAAACAAATTAAAAAAATAAAATATAAATTTCCCACCAGAATGAAGTAGAAAGATACAAGTGAAGAGCCAAAATCTTGAAAATTTTTATTTTTATCATGATCTAACAAAATGAAAAAGATGTGTGCAAAAGAAACGACCATGCCACCCATTATAATGATAATCCACCCGACTTTTCTGACTATTGCGAGGATCATAAATATGGGAATGCCGATCACTTGGAACACGCGAAGATGTAAGAGCTTCGATTTTCATAAAATCAAAGATTTAAGAATGAAAAAACATAATCTTGCGAGATGAGTTAAACACGATATGAAGACACTTACCAGATCAACGTAAACAAATAACATGGAAGCCCCACGAATTTTTTCGGATGGTTGTTCATCAGATAGGAATTGCGCCGCTACAACCATCGGCACGATACTTTTGGCCAAATCCAACCAGTTGTACACACTAAGCCAATACTCTGAAAACTGTCCCAACATTTGCCTAATCTCGATTAATAAAAATAATGTTCCACCTACAAGCACAATCACCATCGTCGATTTTTTTACTATCGTATTGTCCGTTGAAATGCCGAGCATAAAAGCCAAGGCATAAATAAGGTGCAGTGACAACATTATAAAAACACGGGTTCTTGCAAATTTTCGCCATTTAAAATTAATCACCGCTTCCATTGCGGGTTCCCCAAACAATTCGTATCTACTGGATAAGACTTCGACAACCTGAAAATTTTTGGATTTAACAAAACCAACGGGGAAACATCATATCATCAATAAAATAGAGTAGGCGCTACGAACAAACTTCGTAAAAGTTCAGAAGGATTAATTACAAAAGGTGATTGTCTCTTTCGGTAGGATAGATAATTCACAATTTTCCAAAAAAATGGAAAGCGTCGTTTTTCCACGGATTTTCCGATATCTTTGGGAATGTTCCTATAGGTTGCAAAATCAGGAAGAGGCACCACGCATTCTCTTGCAGGACGAGTCTTGCGCGGTGCGCGCACTAATTCTGCTGCCCCTTCGATCTAATAATAGTCGAAAAGTGTAAGCATTACTAAAATCATGCATTCGTAAAATAATGATGACACTTTACCTTTCGATCAATCCGTCTCTCACTCTTCGTCCACCAGGTCTTAAACTTTTGCCAGGGCGTTTCGACAACCTCCCGACTAAGTTCTTCGACTTTTGAAAATGCGTAGAGTTCTGATCGATCACTTCTAATGACCTCGTCCTTAGACGGAATGTAACTAATGCTTTTCACAAAACCTAATGCAAAATCCGGATAAATCTCTCTCAAGGCACTGAACGCGGGAACGATCGTCAAAGTCCACGAGATTGGGTTCTCCTCGGCACGCCTACAATAATACTTTAGCAATGAATGCACGACATCAGTCTTTCCAAGGCGGATGGCCCTTGACAACGCAGATTTTGTTTTTCCAGGGTCATAAAATTGCGGAATATGTTTGTTGGTTCCGAGAAACTCCTTGATCACCATGTCCGCGTATTGGCAATCGGCTTTGATAAGGATATCCAGAGGTGACTGAAAATTGACAATCTGATTGAACACGTGAGAGTCGTTATATATGGCATGAGTGATTATAGATCGACATTTTTCAAGCAATCTCTCAAAATGGTCATGAATTTTTCCGGAACTAATTTGAATCCAATATTTTCTCTCCACAAAGCTAAGGTACCCCAGGGCCTCAGATGCAAAAGCTATCGTTTCAAACGTTGCCCTTTCGTTTTCATCAGGAAGAATTAGATCGATTTGAAACTCCGAATCTTTATCAACGGCAGTCAAACCTCTGGGTCGATCTCTCTGTTCCTGAATTCTGTCGAATAACGGATAATTGGTCGTGTTTTGGATGCTGAATCTATAAATCGTGATAGAAACATTTTGCTAAATAGTTTTTTCATCAAAAAAAAGATAGTTGTAATTCTAATATGATGCTACCTCGAAAAGCTTCTTTTATCATTTTCCTCGACATCACATTGAACATGTAATACATATCGACCTTCCTGAGTCCTGCCGAGATTCGCCAACTGGATAGTCGCATATACAATCCTACTCTTTAATCCCTTAAGACCTTTATCCTTAACGGGTCTACACCAAATGTACTGTAATTCGGGCTCTACACCAGGTTTAAAAATCCAAATTTGCACCGTGTAATGACCGATATACACGACGCGTTCCTTTTTTTTATCCAAGCAAAAACCGGACTTAATTGGCGTGAAGTTAAGCCACGGCTCTATGTGAATGTCGACTATGGGGTGGTCGTTGCGTAAGACGGCCTCATACTCTGCCCCCGGTTCCGCCCTATACAGTGTTTTTTTGTTATACGAATAGATCCTAGTGAAACCACGTTCGGCATAATAGTGTTTTCCTATATTTTGTATTTGCAGACCTTGGGTCAATAATTTCTTTTGAGATAATGGCGTTGTAATTTTATGAATCCTTGGCACTGGGTTGGCGTAAGATGCATAGAAATCCAGTCCGTTCGGTTCAAATACAAAGGAACTTTTAAGATTGTCGTTCCTGCTGATTGGTTGACAAGTGTATATGTCCCAAATCTGCAAGAGGTGATGGTTGTCAGCGTTTTTTGCGTTTATGGTCATCACGTGTTCGTCGCCCTCCAACCACAACAAACTCTCTTTTATCGAGCCCGCATCATAAATTGTCGCATTATTGACAGACGAGGAAAACACCAGTCCACCTTCGCACAAAAATATCGACAGAATCCCTTTTGATGTCCAGGTCGCCAACATTTTCTTATTGTGAGACAATGAGAACAGTGTTGGCGAAGCATCAGCATCCAAAAATGAATCTTTTTGAGCGCATTTAAAACGGATCACTAGTTGTCCAGTAGAAAGCGACCATAAAGATGCAACATCCCACTAACACAAGAGAAAGAAGTTTAAAAATAATAAAATCACGATGTGATTCGAAGTGCGGATGATCGAAATCAAACCTGTTCGACACAGACAAAATAATCTTGCAAGAAGGAATTCCTGACAATCTTTGTCTGAATCCACGGATGAGGTATCACACGGAGTGACGCGGAAAACGTGTCAATGATCAATTTATGTTTAACCTTCCAACTGCGTGTCGAGAAGATATAGATAAAGTTTCCCTTGTACTCGCTGACATTAAGATAGTCATACTCCACATTGCATACAACAAAGGATTCATCATCCTGGGTAAATCTGATCGACCCTTTTGATTTTATAAGGTCATTTTGAAGAACCGGTTTTTCTTCCAGAGTGTTTACAACAAAGGTAAATATTTTGTCTTTTACGCCAAGCGGAGGAATAAATAACTCAAATGGTTCAGGATCATGTTCGTCTTGAGGCAACTTGATGGCACTAAGTGCAACAAACTTGGCTAAAAACAAAGGATCAAGATCATTCATTGGGAATTCGATCATCGGAATAAAGTGAAAAGAGGTGATTACCATCATTGCTAAGAGCAAAATCAACGTCGGTCATGTTTCTTTCCAAGAGGAAAGCAGGAGCAAAACTCTTTCTCTTCTGCCAATAAGGTCTCTTCATCAGATCCGTGGTCGCGGTTTTCGAGTGCCAAAAAGTAGTCACATTCTCTCCTTCCATCAATTTATCGACCTTCCATATTAAGATCTTTCCTTGTTCCGAGAAATAGGCGGCCAGGTGTTTTCCGTTCGGTGAGAAAGTACAAGCATCAACCCTTTGCTTCTCAGGGTCATCTATTGAGTTGATCGACACCTCAATCGATACATCATTTCTTAAATAATTATCCCATGGTTCATTCTGGTCAAATGTATTTTCAATCCGACTACTCTTCTCACTAATCACATCCTGGTCATCGACAACGACTTCTGATTCATCAAATTCTGGTGGAGACCCCACGGTCTTATCACTCGGGTCCGAGTCAAGTCGCCTTCTAGAACTTTCTTGCGTCAGTGGTTTATACGAATACCTTTTACCTTGATTTTCATCCATTCTGGTGTCAGGATTGCCTTGAAAATCTACCTTCAAATCTTATTCGCGATTCATTGGAAATATTTTATCACTTTTTTTTTTACTATCGTGGGATGGCTTTTGAATAAATAAGTGATCGATTGTTTCTCATTCAATATAAACAAATTCCAATTCGATACAAGGTAATGACCCAATTATGCGGAGTAGTTAATCCGCCATTCAAAAAAAAAAAAAAAAAAAACAAAAAAAAATCCTAATAAAAAATGGTAATTTCATGTAGAACGTGTGTTGCACCATGCACGAACGTACGACAAATTGCCATCTTGATTATCCTGTTCTCAACACAAAACCAAGCACACGTTCCCTCCAAAGAACAAGTATTTCACGTGATCAAATACGTCAGTTGGTGAATATTTAGTTCATTTCTTGGCATGCACCAAAAGTAGTTTGGCATTAATGCGAAAACGCCAATATTACTTTTACGATTATTTATTATATTTTTTTTTACAATCGCTATTAATTAAAAAGAATCTAAAACTACATAAATGCGCGTGGCGCAACATTATTAAAAAAAAAGTGTCTGATAGAAATAAAAATATTGCGATAAATTATGCAAGATTAGGATTCCATTCATTATAGAGATTGCTGATCTTCCCTTGTATAAAATCGTCATAAGCCTTTTGTAATATGTCAAACCAAGAACCTTTGGCAACATTTTGTTTCCAACGATTGTGCCAATGATAGGTGAATGCACCCCTAAAGAATTCTTCTTTCTTTCTCAGCAATTTTGTGTTATTCCCTGCTTCAGCCAATAACTGCTCATCCACCCCTGGGAATTCATTGTCTACCAATTTTCCCAAAAATACATCCTTCCAACGACCCAAGTTTGGCCTTAATATTTGTGATTTGTCGTGTAAATCAGACTTCAACCACAAAGGATCAAACAGAACAACTGGCATCATGTAAAGTTGTTCGTCTAGATTTGCCTTGTTCCAACCTTTTTTATTAGAAATCAAATATTTTTTTATACTATATGGATGAAATTTCATTGAATGTTTCATCGCTCCCTTAATAATCTTTCTTGTTAGTGTGCTGTTTTTTCGTAATCTCAGGATGGCCGTATTGTAATTGAGCCAGAAACTCCAACGATAAGAGAAATCATAATCCAAGTAATAAAGTGGGCTCAAGTCCCTTAAAAATAATGTGTCAGCGTCCACATACATTCCACCGTATCTGTGCAGTAGAACAAAGCGAACCATATCGCTGTAGCCAACAACCCTAATCTTCGATTTAAACTTCCTTTCCCAACCAGAGTAAATGGTGTCATAATTCAATTGTTCGGTGATATTCCACTTCCGGAATTCGAGATTTTCAGGAGAAAACTGAAGCACAGATTTGACGTATTTATTATTTTCCAAGTCTTCATTATTTTCGTCAAGCCAAACGATCATCTTGGAACACTTGAGTGGTTGTGTATAGAGGAATGATTTGATGTTTATTGCTAGCTTGTCGATGATACGCCCTCGCCAATAAACGTGAAATAACATTGTTTCTCTTCCCGGTGCGCACTGCAAATTTAGTGCTGAAATAGATGTGTTGGCGGCGTTCGGTGTTATTGCAGGTTTTACCATGTAATCATGTTGCTGGGTGTCCAAATAATCCAGGCAATCCTGCACCTTGAAATGTTTCAGCGAAGATTTACCTTGATCTATCGGTTCGCAATGCTTGTTTACACGATTTATATCCAAAACATATCCTTCATAAGGTCGTGTCGGTAAAGATTCCACCTCTTCAACCGTGACGTTACTTTTACCTCTGCTCTCTTCCACCTTAAGATATTCACCGGGGGAAAGTAAATGCAATAAATAAATAGTAAATGACAGTAATAGAAATGTTAATCCGATTCGAACTCTTGAATCGCGACGTATCCTGGTTTTTGCTCTGATAACGGAGAACATCGACGAGAATTGTTCGTTGCGGTTATGATTACTCTCCCCTACATTATCGTTGGATTGAAAAGTAGAGGTGGTTGAAGGAGTTGTGGAAAGCGGACTATACGTAAAATTATAAGGGTCTTTCCTTTCCATTTCAATTAATTATGCTGTATGTTAAAATTACACTTTTCTCTATTTATTTATTTCTTATTTTTTGAAGGGTTTCCCTATTGGCAGATGCGTACATGTCA